AACACCAGCCCTCCCATGGCAATATTTCCCCTTTAAAGAAACATTCCCACTTCTGCCTTGAGATTTTAAATGCATGCTCTTTTGCCATTACTTGACTGTTTATGACCAGCAGATATTATATGTAGGAAGCTGCCATTTTTGAGAGTTGATTGCAGTTTCCTGCACCATGAATCAGGAATATTCTAGGCTTCTAGGTTTGGAAATCCAGCAAGCATTGGCTGGATGGAGGCATACTCATTCTTCTCATGGTAGGGTAGCTGCTGGCATTGGTACAGACTCATCTACCTAAGGACCAGGGTTCTGACATTTCACAAGACTTTGTTCCAAGCATCAGGTACATGTTTCAAATAAGAAGAATTGGCTGAGGTGGTGAGGAACACCTCAGGCACAGAATTGTTCATGCTCCATGTATCTGAGAAGGAACACAGTCTCAGAAGCTTAACCTACCGCTTTGTAGGTTTCATTAGACAGTCTCGTGATTCTGTTTCCTTATTTTCTTTAATCTTCCAGTGTTAGACCATAGATGACTTCACAGCACAGTATGCAGAACACTTAACTATTAATTGCTTCTGGGTCTTTGGAAGAATGACGTATAGTTGAACTATTTAGCATGTAACCTATCTAGACTGGCTTATTTCATTTGCTTTATAATAAGCCAGATAGGATTGCGTTGTGTAGAAGTCCCAGAGTTTGTTTATCCTCCTCGTCTACAGAATCAACATCAGTGCAGGTACTCAGAGTAGATGTAAGATTTTGTCTTATTTTGTCTTATTTTGCATATATATATGCACAATTTATGGATTCATTGGTGACAGTATGTTGAGTTTTATAGTAAGGTACCAGACTATCAAGGGGCTGTGGCATTCTGCATCCCCATCAGCAACAGTGAGCTTTTCTGTTGCTCTACATCCTCATCAGCATTTAGTTGTGTTGTTGCTTTGGATTTAGTTATTCCAATAGGTGTTGAGGTTGTTGGCCATCATTTTCTTTCCTCTGGGAAGGATTTCAAAGCTCTTTGTATTGATTCTCCTCTTTGTGAAGCCTCTCTTGCTGATGCCACCACCACCCTGACTGTATTAGTGCCGTGGTGACACAATTTATTATGTTTTCACGTCCCGTTGCTCACTCTCTGTCTTCTCTTCAGTCAACAAACCCAAGATATTATTTTCAATGTGTGTGGAAACCGTCCAAATCTAGACTATTTCTGCCAGCTCTCGAGGCATTAGTTTCTTTTGGTCCCTTTGTTCAGTCAGCTCCTGGGTGACTTGTCTTTTTCTAAATTGATACGTTGAAAAAACCCAGCCACTTCAATGCTTTTCATGGAAAGTCTCAAAGATTATCCGAATTTGTTGGCTTAATGGGGAAGAGATAAGATAGCAAGATCTATGAGCTGCCGATGACATAATACTCTTTTATTTCCTCTGATATTTCTAGACAAAAATTTTTCTTACAGTCTCAATTGTTATTATTTCACACCATTCTAGTAAGGTTTTGGTGCTTCATGGCCAAAACCATGTAGGAAAACCTTATTGTTAATATCTTATTGTAAACAGGAGTGTCTAGATGTATTAGCCACAAGCATGTCTGCCCCACTAAGGTTACTTCAGTGAGCTGGGGAGACATTGCAATTTATAGCATTCAATATTTGAGCTATTTGAGCATATGATTTTTCTTTCTGTATAGCCATGTTGTTACAGGTAAGAATTGACTCTTCATCATCTCTCGGTCTCTATCATTTCTTCCAACTTCCTGCCTTAAAGTGGTACTTAATTCATTTTAATGGAATGAATAATACATGAAGCATGAATGACTTCAGTCCCTCAGAGGAAACAAATGGATTCATTTGAGTACATTTTCTAATATCATAAGCAAGTGAAACACAAGTAGAAACAAGTCATAGTTTCTTTGCCCAGGATATAAGCTTTATTTTATATATGTTTGATATATATGTTTATAAGAAACATCATAGGACACAATAATTCAGATATAATGGAATGGCCAACAGGTAAGCTAATTATGATCCAAAAAATAAGGAAAGGATCTGATGGAAAAGTGTAGAATGGTCTGGTCTATTTCTTAGAGGCTGGAAGTTGGGTAAAGAACTTTCATTTTCTCAGATGACATCTGAAGAATGTCTCTCAGCTGTGGTCTGGTGTTTTTGATGTTAGAAAAACTTTAAGTAAAAAGAAGATAAAAGTTGCTCAACAAGCAGGATGAAAAAGGTTGCAGACTGTTCTTAAGAAAATATTTTCCAAGATTTGGACAATTTTCAGTCCTGAAGAGTTTCAGACTCAGTATATCCAGAACAATTTGGTGGTCAGCCTGTGGATTCTTAGCATTTCTGGATCCACTGTAGAGGGTCAAAATATTGGTTATAGAACAGACTCAGATGGTGCAGTGATGTGCCTGTACTCTGAGGTCTCATAAAAGACAATGAAGTAAAGGTTGAAGAACTTGTTACTGGTCCAGAGTTGGTCAAGGAGATGCACGATTCAAGAATACCACGATCTGGGCAATTGAAAATCTGGTTCTTAATAGATGGATTAGCAGCAGTAGCAGCAGCAGGCTGGGCGGCAGCAGGACTGTCCACAGTAGGATGGACGACAGCAGGAGGCCTGGGCGTGGTGCAGCTGGCAGCAGGTTGGGGGTATGCAGCTCACCACACAGCAGGGGGGCAGGCAGGTGCCTTCCACACGGCAGTCAGGGCGGCACCATCTAACTCGGCAGCTCACGGCTCCACTGCCACCCACATGGCCATAGCCAATGCCACCTCCGATGCCGTATCCTGTCTCACAGCAGCTTGGCTGGAAGCAGCTGGTCTCACAACAGCTGGGCTGGCAGCAGTTGGAGCCACAGATGCCGCCAGTGGAGCAAGTGGGAAAGCCGCAGAAGCTAGTAGCACAGCAGGCCATGGTGTCAGGAGTTGGTTGGGTGTTGAGTAGGTTGGATGAGTTCCTGAGTTTGGGAGCAAAGCTGAGCATGGGGCCCTTTATATAGTCAAGTGAGTTGCTGTTTATAAAATTCTTAACATATTTTTCTTGTTTTTGTTTAAATTTGTTCCTCAGTGGTCCTCTGATTGGCTTCCATTGAAATACTTGTGACATATTATGGGGATAGTTTTGTTTTATAAGTTCTCTGTGACTCGTTCTATTGGCCACAGACTCTTTAGAGTAGTGTTTGTGGTTTCCATGTTCAAAGAGTCTTCTCACTGTAGGTTAAGACAACACCCTTATTCTGAATAGTTGTCATTCCACTTGGTCGTCTACCCAGACCTCTAAGGCTGAAGGCAAGTTGATACTTTCAAGCATTATTTTTCTCTCTTGCATATGTAGACTAAATTCTATCAAATTTAAAGTACTGGTGTATTTGCCAAATCGAGCACACCTTTGGTCACACGTAATAGAAACATCTACCACATTGACTCTAACACCATAGTCAAATGGTCTTTACAGTTCTTTTCATTTCAATGGATTGGAAATGTGTAAACATTATTTGTATTTCAGGCCAAAGAGTTCTTTCTCTGTGAACCAAACAACTTGTTTTTTTTTTTTTTTCCAGAAAGTATCCAACCTGAATTTCGTATATTCTTATTAAATGTTTATTGACTCTGATTCAGTGGCGATTAACTGAGGGGGGTGGAGTATAAGGTATGATTCATGAACGCCTGAACCACTCAAGAATGAGTAAGAGCACTTTCAAGTTTGTAGCACCGCCCACAAAGACTTATTTGCCGTGAAGACAGTAGGGAATGTTGAACTATTTTTGTCTGAATTTAGTGGTTGGAAAAAGCTTGAGAAAAAAATTCTAGGAGTTATGACACCTTGAACAAATGTACAGTCATCCAATTCTCTCTTTTCTGGAATGTACCATTCTGTTTGTGATCCATCGTTGCTGCCAATTTAATGAGAGAGGTAAGTGCTGGGGACTTGTAAATAACCTGAAACAAAAATGTCTTAGGTCTTTATGTATTTTGTGTTTGTAGCCAACTGCTTCTATAAGAATTAAAATTACATGATATAATCTATCTCCTTTGTGTTAACTTCTTTTTCAATTGACTCGTAAGTTATAAATTGTGATATTGCTGTTTGAGATTTCTAGTGCATCTGTATGGTGTGATGGCTGAACTCAGCAGCTATACCAAAGCTGCTTGCTCTGCCCTTATCTGGTACAGATGTCTCCCTCATACACCCAGGAAGTGCAGGTGAATGTTGAGAGTTGAAGCTTACACAGCTGGAGATCAGTGGAATGGAGTTAGGCCAAGTTGTAGGAATTAAACCCAAGTTCTGTTGGAAATAGTATTGGCAGATATTTTCCAATCTAGTTAGTAAACGATCCAGTTTCTTTATGTTGTGCATGGATAAAGAAAACTCATCTACTGTACTATACGGGACAGGTTAGAGTTGGTATAAAAAGTTCATGCAAGATGACCCTATTGGTCTGGGACTATTTTAATAAAACATTCACACATTTAAGTAGCCATGAAGATTATTTAATGCACAGAACATTTTAATGAGCAGATAATTCAAACATAAGTTAATTTTCATACAACTGTTTTGCTTTAGATTATGTGTCTATGTCTGAAGATTACTACCATCTATAGATGGGCAGCTTAAAATTAGAAGATGAACAGAAATCTATTTACTTGTGCATAAAACACTTTATTTGAGAGCATCGGGGTCTCTTCAAGTAGAAAGCATGATGGAAGACATGTGGGGACCGAGAACTAGGGAAGAAAGTTCACTTGTCACTGGAACGATGTACTGCTGCATCCTTGTGTATCACCGAAGCCAAGAGGGATCCCTAGAGCATGCTGATTGAGAAGTGGTTTCAGTGCATTGGTTTCTGCATGTCTGTGGGGATCCTGATGAAGAGTTCCACTACAATGAACAGGTTAGCAACATGAAGATACTTAGCATCCACCACACAGAGCATGTCCTTAGCAGTCCACACAATTCTTCAGTGCTTTCCATTGCATTTTTAACTACGCAGGATCATGGCTCTTAACAGCTGGGCTCAGAGCAGCTGGGCTCACAACAGTGGCAGCAGCAGGCTGGGCGACAGCAGGACTGTCCACAATAGGATGGGCGACAGCAGGAGGCCTGGGCATGGTGCAGCTGGCAGCAGGTTGGGGGTGTGCAGCTCACCACACAGCAGGGGGGCAGGCAGGTGCTCTCCACGCGGCAGTCAGGGCGGCACCACCTAACTCGGCAGCTCAGGGATCCACTGCCACCTTCCTGGCCACTACCAGTGCCACAGCAGCTGGTCTGGCAGCAGCTTGGCTGGCAGCAGCTGGGCTGACAACAGCTGGACTGGGTGCAGCTGGGCTGACAGCAGGTGGACTGGGTGCAGGTGGGCTGGCAGCAGCTAGATTGGGAGCAGCTGGGCTGGCAGCAGCTGGACTGGGAGCAGGTGGGCTGGCAGCAGCTGGAGCCACAGGTGCCACCAGTGGAGCAAGTGGGAAAGCCACAGAAGCTTGTAGCACAGCAGGCCATGGTGTCAGGAGTCAAGTTGGTTGTTCTGTGAGGAGAAGATTCTGAGTTTGGGTTGTGTCTTCCTCACCTGGCCTTTTATATATTCCCTCTAGCTGAGTATTCATCTGACATTTAGCATCTCCCCTTGACACAGTTGCGAAGTTAGTCTTTGATTGGTCAGTTCCTGAGTAATTGAGAAAATTGTAAACAGTGCTTCCATTGTCTGCTATAGTCAGTGATCAATTAAGTGGCACTGTGCTTCCTCTTTTCTATCTAGTCTAAGAGAAGGTGTAGTGTCAAATGCAGCAGCCCTCTATAAAAGTCATATGACAAACACTACCCTGGCTTGCTTTGTCTCACCTGACCTTTGATAACCTTAGGCACAGTTTATCCAAACTGAAAATTTATTTCCTAAGCAGCCACTCAGTAACAATCATTATTTCATAAACAGTTTACTCAGACTAAGACTAATATTGGTGTCATCAAAACATGAGCTATTGAACTGATCAGCATCCAAACAAAGTCTGCCTTTTGGTCATCAATATACACATTACAAACCGAAGCCTTTAACGACTTTGCATTTTACATTGTTTTCTGTCTTCGTTTGTAGATATACATACATACATATATATATGCGTGTGTGCATATATACGTGTGTTTATATATGTCAAGCATATCATACATATTATTTATTGCATGCTATCAGTGGATACCATTTAACAAGGCAATCACCCATACATGCACTAAAAACTGAAGCCTTTAATAACTTTGCCTTTACATTACTTTCTGTCTTTGTCTTCATATATATATATATGTATATATATATACATATATATATGTGTATATATATGTATATATAAAGACATATCTATATAGTGACACACACACCCCTAAATATACACATACACACACACAAACACACACACATATATGGATATCATTTAACAAGGCGAACAATAATGGAATCATATAAAGAAAACTGATATCCTCTTTTCTTAGTGTGCACATACACATCCATATATGTAAATGTCTTTTTCAAAACTAGTATTCCAGAAATAATCAATATTGGCAGTTGGTGTTTATTCTTTATTTATTCCTGCCTCTTGAAGTAATAATGTGTGTGTGTCTTCAATTTCAATAAAGTTTGGGTCTATGCATGCTTAAATTAAAATTTTAATTGTGGCAAATACTCATTGCATGAAATTCATGTCAATATTTTTAATATTTGTATCAATCATCTTAACCTTTGGGTCTTATTACCCCTATTGAAAAATCTTTGGACTATGACTAAGGATTTATTTCTGGGCATCCTTTTCTGTTTGCCTGTCTTTGTGTTAATATCATACTATTTTGATTACTTTAGTTTTTAAATAAACTTTAAAATCAGAGAGCTTACAAAACTAATTTTGTTCATTAAAGAAAAGATTGATCCTATTTTTAATTATGTGTCTCTGTGTGGGTACGTACATAGAGTGCAAGCATCTGCGGAGGTCAGAGGAGATGGCTCCCCCGGAGCTGGTGTACAGGCAGCTGTGAGTGGGTCGGTGTGGGTGCCGGGGCACACTACAAAAGCATCATGGAGATTTCGATAGGATTGTCGTTAATCTGTAGATCTATAGATAGCATTGTTATTTTAGCAGTGCAAGTTTTACAATCTGTGGACACTGGATATCTTTCCACTTATTTGCATCTTTTAAAATTTGTCTCAGTGATCTTTCATTATTTCTGGTGTTCATATATTTCCCTCAGTCAAGTTGATCCCTTCAGAATTGATTCTTTCTGAGGCCATTGTAAGTGTAATTGTTCATGTAGCTTTCCTTTTTGTATTGCTTATTGTGTGTAGAAATTCAAGTTTGTGTGTGTGTGAGAGAGCATGTGTGTACATATTTATGTATGTGTGTGAGAGAGAGTGCATGTGTGTGTGAGAGAGCGTGTGTATGTGTTGTGTGTGTGAGACAGTGTATGTGTAAGCCTGTGTGTGTGAGAGAGAGCGAGCATGTGTGTGCATGTATATTTTTGTGTGTGAGAGTGTGTGTGTGCATGTATGCATGTGTATGGTGTATGTGGGTGTTAGAGTGTGTGTGCCTGTATGTATGTGTATGAGTGTGTGTATGTGTGTGTGTGTGTGTGTGTGTGTGCATGCCTGTGTATGTGTTAAGTTTGTATTGGTAACTTTGCTAAGTTAATTGATTACTTTTAACACTTCTTTTGTGTGTGAATCTTTAGATGTGTGTGTGTGTGTGTGTGCGTGTGTGTGTGTGTGTGTGTGCGTGCGCAATATCCTGCTATCTTTAAATGGAGTTAGTTTTACCTTTTTTTTTTTTAATTTGGTGATATTTGTTTCTTTACTTTGCCCTATTTCTCCAGCTAGCACTTCTAGTGGTATGCTAAACAGCACAGCAGAGTTGGCATTCTCATCTCACTCCCAAGCTAACAGGAAACGCTGGTTTTTGCCACTGAGAATGAGGTTAATTGTATTCTTTTAATTGAGGGTTTTTATTAGACCGAGGTAGTTTTGATTATTGAGTGTTTTAAGTAAAAATGTTATCGATTTGTTTATTTACTTACTTATTTGTGTGTGCACAGGTATGTGTGTGTGCCCTAGTGCATGTGTGGAGGTTCAAGGAAGACTTACAGGAGTCTGTTCTAGTCGTCTATCACGTAAATCCAGGAAATGCACTCAGGTTGTCTGGGTTGGAAGCAGGAGCTTTTGGCCACTGAGCCATGTCCTTGTCTTTACTGAGTGCTTTTAAAATGATGAAATGCTTTTGAAATTTATGAAAAATATTTTTTGCAACAGTTGAGATAGCCATGTGTTTCCCTTTATCTTTTAAAGAATGATTACAGTGATCTTTTTAAATATGCCGGACAATTCCTGTATTGTAAGGTAAATTCTCCTTTAGTAATGCTTTATAATCTTTTTATTGTTCAGTTGAACTAAGTTTGATGATAGTTGATGGATGACTGTTATACTGTTGTATGAATATTAGTTGGGAATATTATTCTGTGATTTTCCTGTCTTTGCTATCAGGCTGGTGCTGGTTTTGTAGGCTAAGCTTGGAATTTTTTTTCTATTTTTTCCCATGATTGCTAAAAGAATAAACATGTTTTGAGATATTTCTTGGAAATTATTGTTATTTTTTAATATACGTTTGATTGAATTTACCTGTGGACATGTTTGGTTCCTGGATTTTCCTTGATGAGGAGTTTCTGATTACCGACTCAGTGTCCTTTGTAGATAGAGCCGTCCTCAGATTTTCAAACTTTTTATGACTGAGTATTGATAGGTTGTATGCTTCTGGGAATTTCTCCATAGACATGCTTACATCTGCATATTATGTATCTACATTTTCAACTTATTAGTGTGTGTGGAGGCCAGAGGTTGACATTAGGTGTCTTCTCCAATTGTTCTCCATTTTATCCTCTTGAGACAGGGTGCCTAACCCTGGAGCTTGCTGCTGTGCGTGACCACACTCACCTTTTTTCCTTACGTAGGTGTTGGGGATCAAAGTTAGATTCTTGTGCTTGAGCGCAAACCTTTACTGACTGATCCCAGTTTCTTGTAGATCTGATATGTAAAACTCGTTTTGAAAGCTGTATAATATTTCAGAGTTTGACCATAGCAGGGTTTATCTACTTATTTTTATAATTTTTTCTTTAATTTTCATTTCAAAAATTTAAATGTAGTTGCACAATGTCCCCCTTCCCTTTCTACTCTCTAGCTCTTCCTGGGTCACATGTCACCCCTCATTTCCTCTCAAATTAGTGTCTTCTTTTTTTAAAAAATTATTATTGTTGTGCACATATATATACATACACATATACATATATATGGACATAAATTTATAGATATAATCTGCTAAGTCTGTTTAGAGTTGCTTGTATGTCTATGATCTCAGAGCTGACCCCTTGGGATTGGAAAATGAATTGAGAGGCTCATCCTTGAGCCTTGAGGAAAACTAATTCTCCTTCTCTTAGCATTTCCTAGTTGCCTGTATCTTTTCATCTAGGGGTGAGGCTTATGAGATCTCCCCCTTCAATGTTAGTTTGTCTATTAGTCTTGTCTGTGTTCAGGTCTTATTGAAACAGCCGTATCATGGTTGATATTCTCTGTCATTTCTAGGAGACACAGTCTCACAACAATTTCCTGGACCCCTGGCACTTACAATCTTTCTGGATACACCTTCTTCCACGATGTTCCTGAGACTTCGATGCAGGAGCTGTGTTGTAGATGTATCTCTTGGGACTGTGCATATGATCACTAGCTCTCTGCATGCTGACTATAGTCTTCTGTAATGATCTTCATCTGTTGCAAAGGGAAGCCTCTTTGATGAAGGATTCGAGCTATAACCATCTGTAGGTATAAGGATGAATATTTAGAATGCAATTAGGAATTATTCTTGTTTAGTAAAGTGTCAGTAGTTGGTTCTCCTCTAAGATTCATAACCTCAGTAGGGATAAAAACAACAGAAAATAATTGAAGAATGACTAACAGTCTATGTATGGCTGTGGCCGTAGTTCTTTTGAGAGAGCGCTTGCCTAGCATAGATGAAGTCCTGGGTCCGATTCCCGGGGCTGTAATAAACCAGTTGTAGTGGCATATGCCTTTAATAGCAGTCGGGAGTGGAGGTAGGAAAAACAGAAATTCAAGGTTACGTATTCATCTTGGTTACATAGTAAATTTGAGGCTATCCAGGGATATGTGAGAACCTGTTTTTAAACAAACAAAACCCCAAGCATGAAACAGTATGTGGTAACGATGAAAGGCATGCTGTACCTTATGTGTGTGATTGTATTTCATTTTCTTTTATAAGCATGGGCTGTTTAAGTGGCAAACATGATTTCACTTAGATTTAAGGGGGAAGAAGGATGGAATGTGCTTTCATGTCTGTCCTGTCCTTAGACGGTACCTCTGGATTGGAGCAGGTGTCTACACAATCCATCAGGAAGTGAGCAGTTTGCTTATGGTTTTGGTTTTTTTACTCTTTATTTACACCTTCTAACTTGAAGCAATCCTCATT